TCTTAAGATTCTCTCTTTGTCTTTGAGTCTTGCCAATTCGACTATGTCTTGGAGAAGACCTTTTTGGTTTGAATACATTTGGAGATCATTGAGCTTCCTGGATCTGAAGATCTGTGATTTTTCCTACACCTGGGAAGTTTTCTGCCACTATTTTGTTGAATATGTTTTCAATGCAATCTCTTTTTTCCTCCCCTTCTGGAATACCCGTGACTCGGATATTTGAGCGCTTAAGGTTGTCTGATATCTTTCTCAGATTTTCTTCAATGCCTTTGATTTTTTTTTGTCTGCTTGTGTTATTTCAAACAGCCCATCTTCAAGTTCAGATGTTCTCTCTTCAACTTCTGCAAGCCTGCTGGTTAAACTCTCTGTTGTGTTTTTTATTTTGCTGAATAAATTCTTCAGTTCGGCAAGTTCTGCTACATTTTTTTTCAGGGCATTGATTTCCTTGCACGTTTCTTCTTTCAGGTCCTGTATACTTTTCCTCATTTCATCATGGTGTCCAGCTGAGTTTTCTTGTATCTCATTCAGATTCCTTAGAATTATCACTCGAAATTCCTTGTCAGTCATTTCAAGGGCTTCTTGTTCTATGGTATCTAGAGCTTGAGAGCTATTACCCTTTGGTGATATACTTTCTTGATTTTTCGTATTTCTGGTATCTTTTCTTTGATGTTTATTCATTGTGGCAGGGGGTTTCACAGTCCACAGGTTTTTTTTTTTTTTTGTATTTTTGTGACTGGTAAGGGGATTGCAACCCTTGGGTTGGTGTCGCACGCACCGTGCTCAGCCAGTGAGCGCACCGGCCATCCCTATATAGGATCCGAACCTGCGGTGGGAATACCACTGTGCTCCCAGTGCCGCACTCTCCCGAGCGAGCCATGGGGCTGGCCCCACAGGTTTGACACTATTGTCTGACTAAGATGTTGCTGTGGTTGCCAATTTGGTATGGCTACCTCAGTGACTGCTCAGTTGGCCACTAGTGCCTTGTGTGTGTGGTTGCTTCGGGTATTGGGCTTCTCCAGGGAGCCACCTCTCTTGTCAGCTTGGACTCGGCCAGGCTGCTGGGTCACGGGATGGTACTGCAGGGTGTGTGGTCTCTGCTGAGCTTCCACCTCCTGTGCTGGACTTCTCCCTGTTCCATGCGCGCTGGGCTGGGCTGCTGGGATGCACGGAGGCACCGCAGAGTGTGTGGTCTCTGTGGAGCTTCCCCTTCCCCTGCTGGATGTCTCCCTGCTCCATGCATGCTAGGCCGGGCTTGGGATGGAGCCAGGTGGTGGTGGTGAAGCCTACCTGCTGCTAGATCTCGCGGCGGCGGCCCCCCCCCCCCCCCCAGGGTGTGTGGTCTCTGCTGAGCTTCCACCTCCTGTGCTGGACTTCTCCCTGTTCCATGCGCGCTGGGCTGGGCTGCTGGGATGCACGGAGGCACCGCAGAGTGTCTGGTCTCTGCGGAGCTTCCCCTTCCCCTGCTGGATGTCTCCCTGCTCCGTGTGCATTGGGCTGGGCTTGGGATGGAGCCAAGTGGCAGCGGTGAAGCCTACCTGCTGTTTGATCGCACGGTGGTGGCCCCCCCCCCAGGGTGTGTGGTCTCTACGGAGCTTCTGCCTCCTCTGCTGGATGTCTCTGTGCTCTGTACGCATTGGGCCAGGCTGCTGCAAGTGTAGTTGCCATATTGGGTGTTAATATAAATTGTTTTTATCAATATTTAGGCAAAACTTCAGAAGCTCCAATAATAACTAAACATTCCATCGCCTTGGACATTGCTAGGCAAACAAATACTTGATTCTTTCAAAACAGTTTCCGAGGCTGGGAAGTCCAAAGTCCATCTGGTGGTGGCAATAATGACCCACGGGTCTTACATTGCAACACAGCAGAAGCAGAGAGTAGAGAGCAACCAAATTGACTTTTGACGAGTTCTTGCACGTTGATGAAACTTGTCTGCAACCTTTATCAAATCATCACACTGTATGCCTTAAATATATGCAATTTTATTTGTCAGTTGTACCTCAATAAAGCTGAAGAAAGAAAAAAAGAGCAGGGAGAAAATGAGGAGAGCATTTGCAAGTTAATTATGAACTATTTTAGTAATCATATCGTTAGTGCTAATATTGGTATTGTTATTCTAAGAAAGTTCAGAGTGAGATGTGGAACCAAAGAAATGAGTAATTATGTGATACTCTAATTCCATCATCCCCAGTGTTTTTGAAGGTAGGATTCTCAGTGTGGGAAAAGGAGATACAGATTAACACAGAAAAGGTTAAGTAATATACTGTAGCCTTCAATGTGTATTGAAAAATATCAGGGCAAGCTCATTTATGAAGTCATGACTTGTTTCAGCTTAAAAAGTTTTTACCTCTGCCCACTGAGAAGGCCTAGAAACCTGATCCATCCCAGTAGCAATAATCATCCTCAACATACAGATTGTGATCTTAAAATGCCATTTCTCAGTAAAAGAAATCAAGGGTTGTTGGAGAAATGATAGATTCTAGATTCTAGGTCTGGGATAGGAAACATGCAATTTAAGTTGAAATATTTTATCATATCAGATAGCAATGAAGCTATCAAATATTTCTCATCATTTGGGTCAAAAGGATTTAGATTTTTGCTGCCTAGTGGGAGAATTCCAATGCCTTATGTCTAATGGGATGATTTGAGCATACAATAACTACAGTGGGCCTAAGCTAGTTAAGTTTAAATCCATAAGCTCATAATGATACAAAAACCCCTAATTGATTACATTTGGAAAATGCTAGGAGACCACCTGAATCCACTACTTTATTTAACAACTTGTAAAAAAGGGAAAGAGGAAAGCATCTGTTCTGCCCTTCCTGTACAAAGAATAATACCAAATTGAGTAACCAAACAGTAGAGAGACTTCCCCTAATAGAAGTACTCTAATAAATAAATGAAAAGGTAATGGCAGAGTTGGAATATCACTACTTTGCAAGCCCTAATGATTAAAGGATCTAGGCATCAATGACTTAGCATTGCACACACACATCTCCCACTAGGGTGAAGGTCTACGGACTCAGAGAACACACCTGTCTTTTTCACCACTGTTTATCTAGCTCCTAATTTATAGTAGTGTCTCACTAAATCTAAGTTAAATGGATGAATGTTGAATCCTAAGAGTCTGGGGAACATACTACTTCATATCTGATATTGTTTCATTAGCAGATCCCAGTGTTGTTGGTTTGACTGGATCTGTCTCCCGTAAGATCCCACAGGTAGTTGGTGTTAGGCTGGGGAGGGACTGAAGGTGGGAGGATGGAAGAGTCAAAAGGAAACAGATCTGAGATTGGACCCAATTAGAGCAGGTCTGCAGAACCAATAGCCCATGAGAGGAGAGTAAGCAATTTTATCGAGTCCTTTCTTTGTGCACAGAGTCTATGAAAGTTTGTGTATCTTCATGACAGTTACGTGGAGTAGGTATTGTCATTTCCACTTGACAGCCGAGGAAATAGGGTCAGAGAGGTTAACAGGTGTGTCTAATGTCATACAACTTATGAGTGTCAGTACAAAGAAAGGACTGTCCTCTAGGTATATCTGACTCTAAATCTTTGGGGAATTATACCATGGCCAGCTCTCTCCAGGTTTCAAATTCCTTCTTAAATGTTGTGACCAGAAATGAACACAATGCTCCAAGGATCCCCTGACTCAGGCAGAGCTCAGTGGAGCCATTATTTCTCTTTTTCTTTTTTTAATTTATTTTTTCCTCATTGCACATGTTTATGGAGTACAGTTTTTTAAAAAAGTTATATTGAATCATACTTGATTATACATATTTTTGGGGTTCAACATTGACATATGTTGATCAAATCAATATTACTAGCATATATATTGTTACGAATTGTACTTATTCTTTGTGCCCCTTGTCCAAACTCTCCCCATCACCCTCTCCCTCCCTCCTTCCCCTCCCCCTTTAATTACCCTAGATTTTTTCTTTCCTTCCGAAAGAGTAATGGTTACTCTGTTGATTTGTTGCCTAGATGATCTGTCCAATGCTGAGGGGTGTGTTCGGGCCCCCCGATATTATTGTAGAGCAGATGCTTCTTCTGTCACTCTGGAATGAGCTTTGTAGAGAGAGACATCCTCTTCTATTCTTTGGTCTCTGCTGGTGAGTCTCCTTGTGTCAATGCACTCCAGTGGCTGGCAGACCATCCGCATGGTGGTTGTGGTGTCTAGCCACTTTTGAGGCAGCCATGGTTATTTTGGTGGTTGTCATGGGCCACCCACATGGAGGTGATGTTTTTGGCATGCTTCTTATCTAGTTGTTGGTGGCACTGGCAGTGTGCCTGGTTGTGGGAGGAGAGTCCAGTCCCAGCTGCATGCCTTGGGATCCCAGGCAGGCCCCGTGGTGCTGGCAATGTGCCTGGTTGTCTTCCCTTTCCGGCTTGGTAGCCCAGGGGACTTCCAGTCCTTCTAGGTGTTAGAGGTGTTCTTTGGTGAAATGAGACCTTTACTAGTTAATATCAAACTTTGTCTCTGGTTGTGGGTACTCTGTTGTTTCTTTCAGTTCTGTGTTGTATTATTTGCTGTTCCCACCACTTAAACTGCACTGGAACTAATTTGTTGTCCTTTCCTGACTTCTAAAGTGGGGGAACTTCCTGTGTGGGCCAGTACTAGAGCTCTGTAGTTGAGCTAAATTGCTGCTTTGCTGTTGATTCCCTGGGGAAGACTTTTTGTGCAGCTCAGGTTCTAATAGTTGACCTTATAGGACTTCTGGGTTTAGTGATATCCAATGTAGCTGGGTTGTGTAGAAACACTGTTCTGGGCCTGAGTCTTTTCATCAAACTGCACCCCATGCAATTCTATATTCCCGACCAGTCTCTTTTAAGTGGTCCTACACTGATTGGGGGACAGATCGGCTGTCCTTGCTGTGTCCCAGTGTTCTCCTGGTGGGCCCATCTCTCCCACTGCCCATGCTGCAAACACTTGCCATGGGATGGGCCGTACATGGATCCCTTGCAATGACTTATTGGCCTCTGAGTGGCTCCTTTTCTCAGCTGTTGTGGCTCCTTGTTCCTATGTGGGTCTATGGGAACCTTATTAGTGGTCTTGCTGGCCTGGGGGACACCAAGGCCCTCTTCTCCCCTGCTGCCTCCATGCAACTTCATCTGAAGAGCACAGCTGCAGCTTTTGCCAGCTCCTGCTCTATGCACTCAGCAGCTCCAGCCTGGAAGTGGCTGGGGCTCAAAATGGTCAGAGAGGTTTTTACTTTCCCTCATCGTGGCTTCTCCTGCCTTCATGCATTCCATAGGTCTCTCTTCCTCTTCCCCTGAGCTCTAGCGGCCCCAGCTTGGCTGTTGTTGCTTTTTAATAGTGGTAAATTAGTTGATTTGTGGGAGAGAGTGATCCTGGGGACCGTCTATTCTGCCATCTTGACTGGAATCAGGAGTTTTTAAATTTTAAGTAGCCAATTTATTATCTTTTACAATCTCTGGGCCATGTTTAGAAAGGCCTACTACTTCCAAATTATAATAAAATTCACTCATGTTTTCTCAAGTACATCAATGTATTTATTTTTTTATGCTTTTTAAATATTTATTAGAGTTTATTTTGCTGTAGTGTGTATAGTATGGACCCAAATTTATCTCTTTCCATATGGCTACCCAGTTGTTTCAATACTATTTTATTAAAAATATTCATCCAAATATTGGATCTACTTTTGTATCCTTCATGAATGTTTTAGCTCTAGCTCTATAGTTAAACACATTCGGTGCTTACCACAAAATTCTTTTGCCAAAATTTCTCCAATTACCTCTCGATTGTTTAAAGAGTTCTCTAGTAAATTACTCATTAAAGAGCTTATCTTAGTCCCTTTTGTGCTGCTATAACAGAATACCTGAGACTGGTAATTTTTTTTTTCCTTTTTTTGTCTTTTTTTGTGATCGGCAATGGATCACAACCCTCAGTGTCACGCCTATACCGGACCGGGACCGGCAACGGGATCGCAACCCTCGGTGTTGCGCCCGCACCTCGCTCACTGCCTCGCTCAGCCAGTGAGCGGTCGGTCTGTATGTGGGATCCGAACCCTCGGCGGGAGCACCGCCGCACTCCCAAGCGGCGCAATGTAGCAGTGTGCCACCGGGCTGGCCCGAGACTGGTAATTTTTAATGAACAGAAGTTTATTGGCTCACAAATCTGGAGGCTGGTAAGTCCAAGATTAAGGTGTTGGCATCTGGTGAGGGTCTTTCTGGTGCATCCTCACATGGCAGAAAACAGATGGACAAGAGTGCAAGAGAGGAACCCACTCCTGTGAGCCCTTTTTATAATGGCATTACTCTATTTATGAGGGCAGAGCCCCTGATGGGCCTCCCAATAAGCCCTATCTCCCAAATGTATGACACATTTCAAGGGTAGCAGGGCTTGTGGGCAAACAATTTCACTGAGTTCCCATATGTTCAAAACTGTTTTTCTGTAGCCTCTGTACTTCAAAGAAATGGTTGGCTAGACATAAAATCTTTGGCTTGTGCTTTCTTTTCTTTGATGAGAATTTTATAGTGTTATAGATTATTATTCACTCTAGTCTGGTTGGAAATGTTGCTGTTGAGAAGTCTGTCAGCAACCTGATTTTTCTCTTACAAATTTTGATTTCTTTGCATGATTGCTGAAAAGATTTTTTTCTTTAGATTTTAAT